GCCCGTGCCCCCGCCTCCTCCTCTGCCTCGCTTTGCTCTTCCTGGTTTATCTTCTTCCTCTTGTGTCTCGGACCAAAGGGATAGCTGCTAAACGTGTTCTCGGGCCGCTACGCAGCAGAGGGTCTTTGTTACCTCCGCCAAGGACGTTATGTTATTTTCAGTGCAAGGTCTAAACATCATCCGGAAGTCCTCTAGCCTCATGTTAACGTGCAACAAAATACGCTGTACACAGGCTAACAAAACTAGCATCACTGCCGTTTGAGTCCCTGATGTCGAGGATTATTGAACACAAACAGTGCAGGAACACATCTAGACAGACAATAAAACACTCGCATGCATATGTTCTTTATCCTCTGTGAAGAAAAACGTCTTAATATTACTGTGGTTTACTGAGCATGCATTTGACATACTGCCCCCCGGTGGTTACAGCGACTACACCAGACGGAGCCGCGCAATGAATGCATGACGCGATGATGAACAAACGGTTTAATTATTTCCATTTTATTTAATTATGTTATTAGTGAGGAACGAACAAGTTATTTTTTTTGCCAGTTTTGGCTGTACTTTGTTTGCCTTGAAAAACCAACTATTACACTTTAAAGAGTTTTGTAAAACTGTGAAATGTTTTAGCTGTACTGCAATTCAGTATCATTTCTTTCGTGCGTTAAAGGACCAAAGAAGAAGTTATTTTAGTCATTAGGATTTTTAAATGAATCGGTCGATTAAACAGTTATCGGAATTTTATTCTGCTTCCAAAAAAATCCCTATTGGTCGGGAACTAGTTAATACTGCTTGTTCTTATGAAGTACAATATTGTCGAGTGCTATTCTATTAATTTAAAAAAAAAAAAAAAAGAAAAAGTGACAAATTGTTTTCTAGAATGAACTGATGGCATTTCCACTGGGAAAAAAATTTGAGCTTTCACTATTTTTGAGATATAAGTCTACTCACAGAGAAAATTGCGCTTGTGAGTCAAGGCATCACTTAGCATTCTTTTCAACTGCAGTACCATCGCGAAATTAAAGGCACTGCCTGCCTGGAAAAAAAAAAAAAATTGTGTCCCTGTTGTGGGGGTGGCGGGGGGGTCACAAACTGTCACAGCGGTGGAGCGCTGCTTGGTGTTTTTGAACCTTGGAAAGGATATCAGCTCAGGAAATACGTTGGGCTTGCGGGCATCAACACCTGCTACACGCACACACACACACACACACACACACACACACACACACACACACACACCCCACACACACACCACACACAAACCACACGTGTCACTTAAAAAAAAAAAATTAAAAAAAAATGTGCCGAAAGTGTTTGACAGCACAAACAAAGTCCAGCTGCTGACTGTCTTGTGATCGCAAGCGAATGTGCTTCGATTCTTTTGAATGCAAAAACTGCACCAGTAGTATGTTATGTCGTAGTAGTCATAGTAGAAGTAGTAGTAGTAGTAGTAGTAGTGCTGCGTCACAAACTGTTATCTCGCCCCGCCAGGCATGGAAGAAGCGCTGGTTCATTCTGCGCAGCGGGCGTATGAGCGGTGACCCCGACGTGCTGGAGTACTACAAGAACGACCACTCCAAGAAGCCCATCCGGGTCATCGACCTGCACTGCTGCGAGCAGGTGGACGCCGGCCTGACCTTCAAGCGGAAGGATTTCCAGGACAGCTTCGTGTTCGACATCAAGACCTCGGACCGCACTTTCTACTTGGTGGCCGAAACCGAGGAGGAGATGAACAAGTGGGTGCGCGCCATCTGCCAGCTGTGCGGCTTCAACCAGTCGGACGACAACAACCACGGTAAGGTGCTTTTTGCATCTCCTCCGGCTGCCTCTTTTGTCCGCCTATGACAGGTTTTTTTTTAAATTTTTTATGCACGTTACACATTACACAAATAAGCACTTCATTCAAGTTGTTGTTGTTTTTTTATTTTATTACTTATAGTAGTCCTAATACAACAGCAGGCGTGTGAATGATCACCGTCAGGTGATTTAGAATTGTCTTCATTATTTATGACAGTATTTTATTCATTATAAAATAATCTGTGCACAAAAGAAAACATTGTTTTTAGTTCGAGATTACCTGCTATTCATTTTATGTCAGAACGTTTTATATGTGTTATTTTGTCATGATTATTATTTAATTATCATTCATGTTCTCCCGCGGTTACTTGATGTTATTTTTGTCATTGCGACATTGAAACATACCCCGCCCCCCACCCTAAAAAAAAAAAAAGACATTTTGCTTGAAGTTGCCTTGCAAGTTCCAGTCGATGAAATGGTGTTTCAAGTTAATACTGAGGGTTCTGTGACATTTTCATACGACTGTTACTTTGCATATTAATACGCACGCACTGCCAAGTCGGGAAAACGGGGATCCGAGTCCGCTCGAAGCCACGTTACAATGACTCCAAACTCCCCATCCCTGCTAACTAGCTTTCAGGCTAACGTTGGCATCTGGCACCTTGTTGACGTTAAAGTTTTACCCCGCTGAGCTGATTGTATGTAAACATGAAATATGCGCAGGTGCAAGCTATACACTGTTTATAATGTGAACGTGTTGACATGACGAGGACATTCCTTCAGCATGTTGACGCTCAGCGCACGGCGCTAACCGTTAGCCGCATTTGGCAGGTCACCTCATCTTATTTTGGCCCTTCTAAATATTTCCTTCCTTTCTGTTCTGAGCGTTTCCTATAAAAATAGAACACTAAAAAGCAGCTGTGACCCAATTACATTTTTCAAGCTCTCATGCTAATGTGTGACTCAAATATGTAGTAACCCCCTTCCCCCCCATGAATGCTAGCTTGTTCAAGTCTCTGAGAAACGCACGCTGCAAAAACCGGCCTTAAAATAGCAAGGGAAAAAGTTATTAAATCAGCACTGTATTACGTAATGACGCACAATGATCTCCCAGTCGAACGTGAAAATTCGATTTGTTTAAAACAAGTCAACATAGAGAGCCTAAAAAAGGCAGATTTTGTCTTGATTTAAGAAGGAAAAATCTGAACATTCCGTCTTGTTTGTGCCTCGGGGTTATTTTTACACGGGGCCTCTTGATCAATGTTAGATAATGATGTCGTTTTGATATTGATGTTCAGATTTCTCGATATGATGAGTGGAAAACCACGAGAACGCATTTCTGAGCGAAACATCACGTAGCATTTGAATTGCTGAAACTAGCAAGGTTGTGTTGTCTTGTAAACACCATCAACGGAAACTCATTTCTTACGAGGCTATTTCTCGATATGATGAGTGGAAAACCACGAGAACGCATTTCTGAGTAAAACATCACGAATTGCTCAAACTAGCAAGGTTGTGTTGTCTTGTAAACACCATCAACGGAAACTCATTTCTTATGTTTGAATGAGTCAACTTTTTATTTTTTTTGGGACGCTTACTTCAGAATTTGACTTTTAAAAGGCAAACATTCAGCCTGTCTCTAAATTCAGCTATTTGCTTCATAACTCCATTTGAAAAGATTTATTTTGGTCTTTTCTGTCACGCTCTTAAGTTGCCAAGAGATGACATCAAAGCCCTTGCTAATGGGAAAGTAGTAATTACTGTCATGGAAGTCGACCGATGGGATCAATCTGAGCTGAGAGAATAAAATCTTTGCATGTTGGGCAGGCGCTTAGTTTAGCCTGGGTTGTTACGGAGAGTCTTTGCCACACTTCCGCTGCATTTGTTTTTTGTTTTTTTTTTGTCCAAATCAAATCCTCTTTAAGCTATTTGTTTATAATGGTGATGTTGTGAGAAGCCTTTTGGCCTCATAGGTGGTGGTTTATTTCCAGGTTTAAACAATCCTAAACCGTTTTAGGGGAGTGTTAATTGTCATTTTTGCTGTTCACAATAACACTGTGGGTTTGTTTTATCTCCTATACGACCATTAACCTTTCAAACCGAAGTTAAGTAAATTAGGGAAGAGAGTTTTGTCAGAATCTTTTTTTTTGCAGCTGCAGACAGGGGAAGTCCCTCGAAGATGGACAACACACTGTAGCACAGAAACCCCCCAAAAAGTCAAGCCCATTAACAACTCCTCTCCAAGAGAAGCAGATATCACTCCGCTAACATGTTTTCTTGTTGTTGTTGTGCCCAAGTAAAAACGCAGGATGTCTGTCATGATGTGACGCTGCCATGATGTCACGTTTGCAGATGATGAGGAAGGGTTATTTCGGGAGGTTCACTTGCAGCCGCGGCGGTTTTCACGGTTAGCCATTAGCCACGCTAACCGGTACTCCTCATGTGGGATTGCGAGGGAGTGATGACTCAGTGGCGGCAGGACAGCAAGTCAGTGTTACGTAACTGGCTTTCTTCCTTAAATGCCGACTTACTGGCACACACACACCGACAATCATGATGATGTTTCATTTCTTTCGACATAAATTTACATGGAAGTGCTGACGCGGGCAAGTTCACCGCGGTGATGGTCTATATAAAGAACTCTCAAATTGATTTTTTTTTTTTCCAAGGTACCACCTCTTAAACTTCACAATTTTATGATTGTCTACTATTGTTTCATGGGGGAAAAGTTGCAATGTTATCAGAATATTTTTTCCCACCCCTCAAGAAAATAGATTTGCAATCCGCACAACATCAAGGTGTAACATGACAAGAGTGACGCTGTACTTTTACAATATTTAGATGAAGTGTAGCAGAAAAGACAACTTTATTCTCATCAATGATGTCACGATCAGAGCCAGTCAGTCAGAGCTTTTCATTGGCCGGAAACTAAGCTAGGGAAAAATAATGGTTTTATTCCATATGTCTTGTTGGCTACAGATTCCCATATGCGTTGTCGATATGCATTTTTTCAATACAAAATTAAAATTATTTTAGATCACAACAGTTGGAGAGCCATTAAAATGTTTTTATTGACACCATTGAGGAAATTTTTGTTTGTGTGTTAGTGTGAAATATTACACAATAGCTCCTTCCAAGAAGTGCTGTGGTTTGTGGTTGAATAAGCAATGACTTCATGACAAAAATCGGTCACAAACAAGTTGTGCGGCGCTACAGTATGAAGTGCATGGTCAGATTCAAATCGAGATTGTTTGGCCTTGCCCTGGAGGTCTGTGTTCCACTTGGTGACATCTTTCATCAATCCATTATTGATCAGCGGTTGCACTGCAGCCATTCGTTATCTTGAATCTTATTTGGAGACATATTGGACAGTTCTATGCTTCCAACTGTGCGTGAAGAGTTTGGAGAAGTTCGCGGCACACAAAGACAAGATATGAAGACTTGGATGAGTTTGGTGGAGAAGAATCATCCAAATCTTTGGAATGAAATGGCATATGGAGATATTCATTGTGAACGCTTTGTCGAAACTTGAACCAGAAGACTGAAAACTCCAAATTTTCTTTACATTTGTCCATACACAGTAGTGTAAAACACGTTTGCGCGACAGAGTTCAGCAAAAGTAACAATCAGTTACACGATTGAATGATTTGGTGTGGCATTCCCCAGGGAAGTATTCTCAGTACACAATACTTTTCGAAACTGGAAATTCCACCGTATCCCAATACTTTTGTTCATGAACAGTCATGTAAAACGCAAACCCGATTTTGCACCACGGCGGCTGTATAAAATAGCAATCAATCGGACACTTGGGATCTTGACGTTCCTCCGGGAAATGTTCTCGAGCCACCATGGTTTTCGACAACTGGGAATTCCCGTGTATCCCAATACATATGTCCATCTAAGTAGAAGTAAGTCACGGTTTTTGCATGCCTCCCCCCACCCCAAGTACCATATGTTGGCATTGATTTTTGTGCCACTGGGAGGTCTGATGTGTGTCGCAAAAGAGAATAAATGGACATGACGGCCTCTGCTCGACTTTGAAGTGTCACAGCAGATGCTGCAGCATCCTCGGTGAAACGATGAGGCCAGTTCCTTCTGAACAGCACCGAATGCGATCTCTAATGCGTGTCGTCCTCTTCATGTGCGCTGCTGTTATTAGAATGTGATTGGCTGACAGCTGGCCAGAGTGTTTCCATGCCCCGGGAAACCACCTCCCGCCCAGGCCCGCTCACTCATCTAATGAATGGCGCATCGTCTCGTCAATCACTGTCTTTGTTCTGTGCTCCCTCGCTCGTCTGAACAAATGGCCAAGGGATTTTTTTTTTCCATTTTATTTTATTTTTTAACAGGACAGCTTGTTCCTTGGTTTCATACCAACTCCTCTTGATTTAATCTGATGCAGGACTACGTTGACAAAATATTTTCTACTGAAACTACCCCTCGCCCCCATGCCCCACAAACACCTTCCCGAGGTTATTATAGTTCACGTAAACTAACAAAATAAATGAAAGGAAAATTCAAGACACATTTTAGTGAAACAAAATAAAATAAAAATGAAAATGCTTTTAACCCTTTCATGCTTTTGGGTTTCCTTTTCAATGTATTTATTTTGATATCGCTGTACGTCGAGCCAAAAGGAGGAAAGTAAAAAAAAAAAAAAAAATTCAGAATTGTCTTCTACTTAGAGGCCTTTTTCTTTTGAAATCTTGAACTCAACAAATACTCGAGTATATATATTTTTAAAAAATAACTAAGACTAAATCTAATAAAACCAAACTAAGCATTCCCCCCCCAAAATAAATAAAAACAAACCTGCCGTAAAAACGAATTAAAACTAACTGATGGGAAAAACAAAAAGAAAAACAATCTAAATGAAATAAATCAAAGTCAAATTAAAAATCTCAAACTTTGACAAGCTTGCTCTTGACCAACCGGCTTGTCTTAGCCCCAAATAGGTTGCACCCATTGCGCACGTCTGAATTTTGGCCTCAATATTCA